GTGTGCGAGTCTTTCAGAGTTTTTAAAGCGTGTGTTGGTGCCGTGTGCGGTGACGTTCACTCCCGAAGCTTCAGAGACGTGGATCCATGTTATTATAGATCCATGTTATTATCATAGATCCATGTTATTATTATAGATCCATGTTATCATAGATCCATGTTATTATCATAGATCCATGTTATCATAGATCCATGTTATTATTATTATAGATCCATGTTATTATCATTATAGATCCATGTTATTATCATTATAGATCCATGTTATTATCATTATAGATCCATGTTATTATCATTATAGATCCATGTTATTATCATTATAGATCCATGTTATTATCATTATAGATCCATGTTATTATCATTATAGATCCATGTTATTATCATTATAGATCCATGTTATTATCATTATAGATCCATGTTATTATCATTATAGATCCATGTTATTATCATTATAGATCCATGTTATTATCATTATAGATCCATGTTATTATCATTATAGATCCATGTTATTATCATTATAGATCCATGTTATTATCATTATAGATCCATGTTATTATCATTATAGATCCATGTTATTATCATTATAGATCCATGTTATTATCATTATAGATCCATGTTATTATCATTATAGATCCATGTTATTATCATTATAGATCCATGTTATTATCATTATAGATCCATGTTATTATCATTATAGATCCATGTTATTATCATTATAGATCCATGTTATTATCATTATAGATCCATGTTATTATCATTATAGATCCATGTTATTATCATTATAGATCCATGTTATTATCATTATAGATCCATGTTATTATCATTATAGATCCATGTTATTATCATTATAGATCCATGTTATTATCATTATAGATCCATGTTATTATCATTATAGATCCATGTTATTATCATTATAGATCCATGTTATTATCATTATAGATCCATGTTATTATCATTATAGATCCATGTTGTTATCATAGATCCATGTTGTTATCATAGATCCATGTTGTTATCATAGATCCATGTTGTTATCATAGATCCATGTTGTTATCATTATAGATCCATGTTGTTATCATTATAGATCCATGTTGTTATCATTATAGATCCATGTTGTTATCATTATAGATCCATGTTGTTATCATTATAGATCCATGTTGTTATCATTATAGATCCATGTTGTTATCATTATAGATCCATGTTGTTATCATTATAGATCCATGTTGTTATCATTATAGATCCATGTTGTTATCATTATAGATCCATGTTGTTATCATTATAGATCCATGTTGTTATCATTATAGATCCATGTTGTTATCATTATAGATCCATGTTGTTATCATTATAGATCCATGTTGTTATCATTATAGATCCATGTTGTTATCATTATAGATCCATGTTGTTATCATTATAGATCCATGTTGTTATCATTATAGATCCATGTTGTTATCATTATAGATCCATGTTGTTATCATTATAGATCCATGTTGTTATCATTATAGATCCATGTTGTTATCATTATAGATCCATGTTGTTATCATTATAGATCCATGTTGTTATCATTATAGATCCATGTTGTTATCATTATAGATCCATGTTGTTATCATTATAGATCCATGTTGTTATCATTATAGATCCATGTTATTATCATTATAGATCCATGTTATTATCATTATAGATCCATGTTATTATCATTATAGATCCATGTTATTATCATTATAGATCCATGTTATTATCATTATAGATCCATGTTATTATCATTATAGATCCATGTTATTATCATTATAGATCCATGTTATTATCATTATAGATCCATGTTATTATCATTATAGATCCATGTTATTATCATTATAGATCCATGTTATTATCATTATAGATCCATGTTATTATCATTATAGATCCATGTTATTATCATTATAGATCCATGTTATTATCATTATAGATCCATGTTATTATCATTATAGATCCATGTTATTATCATTATAGATCCATGTTATTATCATTATAGATCCATGTTATTATCATTATAGATCCATGTTATTATCATTATAGATCCATGTTATTATCATTATAGATCCATGTTATTATCATTATAGATCCATGTTATTATCATTATAGATCCATGTTGTTATCATTATAGATCCATGTTGTTATCATAGATCCATGTTGTTATCATAGATCCATGTTGTTATCATAGATCCATGTTGTTATCATAGATCCATGTTGTTATCATAGATCCATGTTGTTATCATAGATCCATGTTGTTATCATAGATCCATGTTGTTATCATAGATCCATGTTGTTATCATAGATCCATGTTGTTATCATAGATCCATGTTGTTATCATAGATCCATGTTGTTATCATAGATCCATGTTGTTATCATAGATCCATGTTGTTATCATAGATCCATGTTGTTATCATAGATCCATGTTGTTATCATAGATCCATGTTGTTATCATAGATCCATGTTATTATAGATCCATGTTATCATAGATCCATGTTATCATAGATCCATGTTATCATAGATCCATGTTATTATTATTATAGATCCATGTTATTATCATTATAGATCCATGTTATTATCATTATAGATCCATGTTATTATCATTATAGATCCATGCTATTATCATTATAGATCCATGTTATTATCATAGATCCATGTTATTATCATAGATCCATGTTATTATCATAGATCCATGTTATTATCATAGATCCATGTTATTATCATAGATCCATGTTATTATCATAGATCCATGTTATTATCATAGATCCATGTTATTATCATAGATCCAGGTTATTATTATAGATCCATGTTATTATTATAGATCCATGTTATTATTATAGATCCATGTTATTATTATAGATCCATGTTATTATTATAGATCCATGTTATTATAGATCCATGTTATTATCATAGATCCATGTTATTATCATAGATCCATGTTATTATCATAGATCCATGTTATTATTATAGATCCATGTTATTATAGATCCATGTTATTATTATAGATCCATGTTATTATAGATCCATGTTATTATCATAGATCCATGTTATTATCATAGATCCATGTTATTATCATAGATCCATGTTATTATTATAGATCCATGATGTAGTTCAGAGAATCGCTTTGACACAGTTTGCTTTGTGATCCGCGGGACTGCGGCTGTGTGCGTATGTGTATGTACATGTGTGTGTGTGTGTGGTACGTCTCTGTGTGCATATGTGTATGTACATGTGTGTGTGTGGTACGTCTCTGTGTGCGTATGTGTATGTACATGTGTGTGTGTGTGGTACGTCTCTGTGTGCGTATGTGTATGTACATGTGTGTGTGTGGTACGTCTCTGTGTGCGTATGTGTATGTACATGTGTGTGTGTGGTACGTCTCTGTGTGCGTATGTGTATGTACATGTGTGTGTGTGGTACGTCTCTGTGTGCGTATGTGTATGTACATGTGGTACATATTTGTGCGCGTACGTGCATGTGCCTGTCTCTGTATGTTTGTACGTCTGTGTGCGTGTGTCGGCCTCTGTGTGTTTACGTGCCTCTGTGTGTACATGTATGCGTCTGTCTCTGAGTGCGTGATGTGCATCAGTTCTGTACCACACAGACACACATGTACATACACACACAGAGACGTACCACACACACACATGTACATACACATACGCACACAGCCGTTGTCCCGCGGATCACAAAGCAAACTGTGTCAAAGCCTAACCCTAACCCTAGGATCTATGATAATAACATGGATCTATAATAATAACATGGATCTATGATAATAACATGGATCTATAATAATAACATGGATCTATGATAATAACATGGATCTATAATAATAACATGGATCTATGATAATAACATGGATCTATAATAATAACATGGATCTATAATAACATGGATCTATAATAATAACATGGATCTACGATAATAACATGGATCTACGATAATAACATGGATCTACGATAATAACATGGATCTACGATAATAACATGGATCTAGAATAACATGGATCTACGATAATAACATGGATCTACGATAATAACATGGATCTACGATAATAACATGGATCTACGATAATAACATGGATCTACGATAATAACATGGATCTACGATAATAACATGGATCTATAATAACATGGATCTATAATAATAACATGGATCTATAATAATAACATATGGATCTATAATAACATATGGATCTATAATAACATGGATCTATCATAATAACATGGATCTATGATAATAACATGGATCTATGATAATATGGATCTATAATAATATGGATCTATAATAATATGGATCTATAATAATAACATGGATCTATAATAATAACATGGATCTATAATAATAACATGGATCTATGATAATAACATGGATCTATAATAATAACATGGATCTATAATAATAACATGGATCTATAATAATAACATGGATCTATAATAACATGGATCTATGATAATAACATGGATCTATAATAATAACATGGATCTATGATAATAACATGGATCTATAATAATAACATGGATCTATAATAATAACATGGATCTATAATAATAACATGGATCTATGATAATAACATGGATCTATAATAATAACATGGATCTATGATAATAACATGGATCTATAATAATAACATGGATCTATAATAATAACATGGATCTATAATAATAACATGGATCTATGATAATAACATGGATCTATGATAATAACATGGATCTATAATAACATGGATCCGAGTTCCGGCCGGACCACCACCGTTAATGGCTGCGCTGTGAGTGAGCTCCCGAAAGGACCAGAGCATTTTGTGATCTGAACCCGCTTAAACTATGTAAATAATCTACGAAATGCAAACTAAGAAGCGGGGGAGAGAAGTACACACCAGTTTCCACATTGGATTGGACAAAGAGTAGGTGAACCGAAAGTTTTTCTCAAGTGGAAACCTTGCGCTAGCATTTGCTGCTAAACGAAAAGCTAACAGCAACACCTGGAGCTAAACGGCGAATCATGGCAAATAACGAAGTTATTCTACAAGAACTGAGAGCCTTTCGACTAGAAATCAAAGAACAACTTGAGGGCATCAAGGAAGAGCTGACTAGAGCGAATAACAGGCTGGAAGAAGCTGAGGAGCGGATTGAGAAAGCAGAGGAGAGAATTCTCAACGTGGAGGAAGCTATGACCGAGCTAGTGCAGCTAAACATAAAGCTGGAGGAGAAGATGGTGGATATGGAGAGCCGGTCAAGGAGAGAAAACGTCAGGATTTATGGTGTTCCAGAATCGTCAGAGAAAGACTCTCCATCAATGATTGCTTTTGTTGAGACACTACTGCGTGAAGGCTTGGAATTGGACGGCGTGGACATTAGCATTGAACGAGCCCACCGCTCGCTAGGCCCCGCTTCTCCAAGACGCTCCGCCACGCTCTATCGTGGTTAAGTTTCTAAGCTTTAAGATCAAAGAACAAATACTCCGCAAATCATGGCAGAAGAAAGGATTTACTTGGAATGGTAAACACATATCACTGGACAACGATTACCCCCCTCTCATCCTTAAGAAACGAAAAGGAATACGCAGAAGTACGCAAGATTTTGAAGGCAAAGCAGATACCATTTCAAACCCTCTACCCAGCGCGACTAAAGGTGAAGTTCACGGATGGAGAAATAACCTACGCCTCTTCATCAGAAGCGACTGAGGATATGTCCCGGAGAGGCTACGCTGTCAAGATCATCAAACCTCCCGAAACAATCCTGGAGCAACTGAAGCAGTTGACCTGGACCAGAGTGACCAGAGGAGGAGGTAGCAGTGCAGCGCAACCGGGACAAGAACCAGGCTATAAGAAAAAGCTCCGTACCTTCAGGAGAACGGTAGCCACCACTTCAGGGACTTGAGGTTTCACTTTGACTCTTACCAAGACACTTTCACATATCTAAATCCACGTACACTGACTGAATACTATAAATATGTCTTTGGGTGTTAATTTTTAAAGTTAATATGGTTCTGAGGGATTATTCTTGACAGCAAAGCCACAGCCAATAAGGGCCCACATCGTTGCCGATGTGGAAGCAGCCTTTGAAGGCACCACAGGGTCTGTTTAAAGGACCCCAGCCTTGGAAGTTACTCTGAGGAGCACAGGGACCGGCCTCCTGACTCTGAGGAGCACAGGGACCGGCCTCCTGACTCTGAGGAGCACAGGGACCGGCCTCCTGACTCTGAGGAGCACAGGGACCGGCCTCCTGACTCTGAGGAGCACAGGGACTGGCCTCCTGACTCTGAGGAGCACAGGGACCGGCCTCCTGACTCTGAGGATCACAGGGACTGGCCTCTTGACTCTGAGGAGCACAGGGACCGGCCTCCTGACTCTGAGGAGCACAGGGACCGGCCTCCTGACTCTGAGGAGCACAGGGACTGGCCTCCTGACTCTGAGGAGCACAGGGACCGGCCTCCTGACTCTGAGGAGCACAGGGACCGGCCTCCTGACTCTGAGGAGCACAGGGACTGGCCTCCTGACTCTGAGGAGCACAGGGACCGGCCTCCTGACTCTGAGGATCACAGGGACTGGCCTCTTGACTCTGAGGAGCACAGGGACCGGCCTCCTGACTCTGAGGAGCACAGGGACCGGCCTCCTGACTCTGAGGAGCACAGGGACTGGCCTCCTGACTCTGAGGAGCACAGGGACCGGCCTCCTGACTCTGAGGAGCACAGGGACCGGCCTCCTGACTCTGAGGAGCACAGGGACCGGCCTCCTGACTCTGAGGAGCACAGGGACTGGCCTCCTGACTCTGAGGAGCACAGGGACTGGCCTCCTGACTCTGAGGAGCACAGGGACTGGCCTCCTGACTCTGGGGAGCACAGGGACTGGGATAATGTACCGCATCTCCTCCGTCCTCCGCGTCCGGCCGTCATCGTTCCGTTGCTATGTTTAGACCCCGGCTCCGTTGCCATGGAAACAGGATCCGAGCAGGTTCAGCGATGTCAGGGATATCGAATCTTACTCCGCGGAGACCGTCTTTACACAATGAACCAGACGCCTCCGATCGATGCGGACGCCATCGCTGCTCACGCCGTTTCCGACACGGCGAGCTCCGGAGACAAACGAGAGATTCAGAGTTTAAGAAGTGAAAGGTTTTTATGTTTTTGTGCTGATTTCAGATTCTGCTCCGGGATCCAGAGTCTGTGTGAGCTGTGAACCTGACTCAGGCTCTACAAACATGTTATTATGTTTATATGTTTATATTATGTTTATATTTTGTTTATATTATGTTTATATTTTGTTTATATTATGTTTATATTTTGTTTATATTATGTTTATATGTTTATATTATGTTTATATTATGTTTATATGTTTATATTATGTTTATATTTTGTTTATATTATGTTTATATGTTTATATTATGTTTATATGTTTATATTATGTTTATATTATGTTTATATTTTGTTTATATTATGTTTATATTATGTTTATATTATGTTTATATTATGTTTATATGTTTATATTATGTGTATATGTTTATATTATGTGTATATGTTTATATTATTAGGCCCGAGCCCCGAACGGGGTAAGGGCCTATTGCTTTCACAATGGTGAAAACAAATGGTGGCGGTGCGTGACGGACGCGTCAGCGCCCGTCACTCACCAAAATGTGACAGTTGCGTGCGTAAACTCAAAAGCTTTAAAATGATGTATCACATGCCATTGAAACCTATATTGTTTTTGCTCGAGACGTTAAAAAAAAAATTCCTTTTTTATTTATTTCTTTCTTTCTTTTTTCTTCTGCACTTTGAGCCTTAATTTGACCCCCTGAACATGCATGAAAAGTTGTTAATTTTGGCCCAAAAATCAGACCTGGCGAAAAATTTGATATTTTGGTGTTTATTTTTATGGGACTCAAAAAATGCCAGAACAGCGCCACCTACAACAGCCAAAATAATACCCCTATGGGACTTTTTGGAGGTCAAGTTTGTCGTAGAAACATGAGATTTGGTACACATGTTCCTTGAGTCAAGACATGAAAAAAATATTATTATGGCTCCGCCCTCTGACAAACAGGAAGCCCATAAATTTCACTGCAAAATGGAAAAATGAACAGCAAAAGTTTTCATACATGTCGGTTGGAAAGCGACTCCTCCTCGGCCGTTTCACCGATTGGCCTCAAAATCGCTCCACATCATCTCAACACATGTACCTTCAAAATGACCTCAGGGATTTTTGATCAGTGAAACATTGTTTGAGCAGCGGAGCGGCAAAATGTGACCTTTTTTTGGCCGTTTTTGACAACATAAAATTTGCTCCCGTTTGCACAAACAAAGTCTGATTTGCACAAAACTTTAATACATTGTTCAACTTTAGGGTCTAGGTCATTTGAAAGTTAAATGATTCACATTGACACATTAGCGCCCCCTACAGACTATTTCAAAGTTTTAGATGGGCATTTTCAAATTTAGTTTTTTCAAAATGTTTGAAATTTTGCACATACATCTGTTTTGCCCTCTTGATTCAAAAAGTCAATAGGGTCCAAGGCTTATTTTTTACCCTGTTGCCGTGGCGACGACAAACGCTCCAGATTCATTGCAAATGTACACCTCACACAAACATCAAACTAGCCTCGGCCGTTTCACCTATTCGCCTCAAAATCGCTCCACATCATCTCAACACATGTACCGTCAAAATGACCTCAGGGATTTATGATCAGTGAAACGTTGTTTGAGCAGCGGAGCGGCAAATAGTGGCGTATTTTTTTTCAGTTTTTGACAATAGAAAAATGGCTTCCGTTTGGACAAACAAAGTCTGATTTGCACAAAACTTAAATCCATGGTTCAACTCTTGGGTCTAGGTCATTTGAAAGTTAAAATTTTGAAATTGGCTCTATAGCGCCACCTACAACAGCCGATTTAAAAATGCCTATGGGAGGGGTTCGAGGTCAAAATTGTCATAGAACCATGTAATTTGGAACACATGTTCCTCAAGTCAAGACATTGAACTTGTTTTATTATGGCTAAGCCCTCTGACAAACAGAAAGCCCATAAATTTCACTGCAAAATGGAAAAATGAAAAATAATCATTTTCATACATGTCGGTTGGAAAGCGACTCCTCCTCGGCCGTTTCACCGATTGGCCTCAAAATTGTTCCAAATCATCTCAACACATTTACCTTCAAAATGACTTCAGGGAATTTTGATCAGTGAAACGTTGTTTGAGCAGCGAAGCGGCAAAATGTGAGGGTTTTTTTGGCCGTTTTTGACAACATTAATTTTTTCCCGTTTGCACAAACAAAGTCTGATTTGCATTAAACTTGAATCCATTGTTCAACTCCAGGGTTTAGGTCAGGTGAAAGTGAAATATTTGAAATTGGCCCATTAGCGCCCCCTAAAGACTGAGCCAAAGTTTACATCGGGAGCCAAACCAGCTCTACTTATCATATTCATTCAAATTTGACTAACAATCTTCTATGACTACGGGAACAAATCATCACACGGCGGCGCCACCTCCTTTGAGCGGTGCTGCGTGGTACGGTGTGGTGCGGCGTAGTGCGGGGCGTTGTGGGAGCGGCGCGTTGCGGCTTGGTACGGGACGGCGTGGTGCGGGACGGCGTGGTGCGGGACGGCGTGGTGCGGGACGGCGTGGTGCGGGACGGCGTGGTGCAGGGCGGCGTGGTGCGGGGAGTGCGCGCGGTGCAGGGAGTCGCGCGGTGCGGCGAGGGCCGTTCGACGCCGCTTGCGGCTTTAATGTTTATATTATGTTTATATTATGTTTATGTTTCTATAAGCTCCGGTCTGTCACACACCTACAGATTGTTCACGTTTTTTTGTCTTTAAAAAAGTCTAGAACACAACTTTTCTCTTGTCAAACTAAAATAAACACAAAATACAATTATAAACACTACACACTGAAATAACTGACTACACACACACGCACACACATTTATATACACATGCACACACACACACACACACACATATATATATATATATATATATATATATATATATATATATATACATATATATATATACACACACACAAACACACACATATATATACATACACACACACACACATATATACATACACACACACACACACACAGTAGAGGCTCCTTTAATGGAATCCGCCATTTTACTTCCGTCTAGTGACCATGGTCATCGCTGCTCACTACCTTTTCGAGATGCATTGTGGGAAAATTCCAGTGCACTACTTTTTCTCTCTGGACATTCGGACACCCCTACAAAATGGCGTGACCACTATATAGTGCACTATATAGGGTATAGTCTGGACATTCGGATACAGCCTAACTTTGATGTGGACTGGTGTTACTCAATTAGTGTCAGGGAAAACGGGGAACAAAATGAAGGTTCCTACCTGAGGGCAATAAATGGGTAAGAATGAAAAGTCAGTGCCATAAACATATAATCCTGTGTTAGTGCACGTGATGAAACAGATCATACAACACTCTGCTCCTCTGCAGGGGTCACTTCTGTCCACTCGGACACTTCTCGCGGTGCAGAGGGAGGGGCCGTGGGGCGCCCCTCTGTTCACGGCTACTTTTAATAACTCTGTCCAAAGCTCCAGACACTCGTCCTGGACTCTGTCAGTCTGTCACCGTTTATTACAGCGCCAAGATGGCCGCCTCCAGAGGACGGTTAGAAGAGGACGACTGAGAGAAGAGGAGGACGACGGAGAGAAGAGGAGGACGACGGAGAGAGAGAGGAGGAGGACGGAGAGAAGAGGAGGACAGAGAGAGAGGAGGAGGACAGAGAGAGAGGAGGAGGACGGAGAGAAGAGGAGGACGACGGAGAGAGAGAGAGGAGGACGGAGAGAAGAGGAGGAGGACAGAGAGAAGAGGAGGAGAACAGAGAGAAGAGGAGGAGGACAGAGAGAAGAGGAGGAGGACAGAGAGAAGAGGAGGAGGACAGAGAGAAGAGGAGGACAGAGAGAAGAGGAGGAGGACAGAGAGAAGAGGAGGAGGACAGAGAGAAGAGGAGGAGGACAGAGAGAAGAGGAGGAGGACAGAGAGAGGAGGAGGACAGAGAGAAGAGGAGGACAGAGAGAGAGGAGGAGGACAGAGAGAAGAGGAGGAGGACAGAGAGAAGAGGAGGAGGACAGAGAGGAAGAGGAGGAGGACAGAGAGAGAGGAGGAGGACAGAGAGAAGAGGAGGAGGACAGAGAGAAGAGGAGGAGGACAGAGAGAAGAGGAGGAGGACAGAGAGAGAGGAGGAGGACAGAGAGAAGAGGAGGAGGACAGAGAGAAGAGGAGGAGGACAGAGAGAAGAGGAGGACAGAGAGAAGAGGAGGAGGACAGGAGGAGGACAGAGAGAAGAGGAGGAGGACAGAGAGAAGAGGAGGAGGAGGACAGAGAGAAGAGGAGGAGGACAGAGAGAAAGGAGGAGGACAGAGAGAGAGGAGGAGGACAGAGAGAAGAGGAGGACAGAGAGAAGAGGAGGAGGACAGAGAGAAGAGGAGGAGGACAGAGAGAAGAGGAGGACAGAGAGAAGAGGAGGAGGACAGAGAGAAGAGGAGGAGGACAGAGAGAAGAGGAGGAGGACAGAGAGAGGAGGAGGACAGAGAGAGAGGAGGAGGACAGAGAGAAGAGGAGGAGGACAGAGAGAGAGGAGGAGGACAGAGAGAAGAGGAGGAGGACAGAGAGAAGAGGAGGAGGACAGAGAGGAAGAGGAGGAGGACAGAGAGAGAGGAGGAGGACAGAGAGAAGAGGAGGAGGACAGAGAGAGAGGAGGAGGACAGAGAGAAGAGGAGGAGGACAGAGAGAGAGGAGGAGGACAGAGAGAAGAGGAGGAGGACAGAGAGAAGAGGAGGAGGACAGAGAGAAGAGGAGGAGGACAGGAGGAGGACAGAGAGAAGAGGAGGAGGACAGAGAGAAGAGGAGGAGGAGGACAGAGAGAAGAGGAGGAGGACAGAGAGAAAGGAGGAGGACAGAGAGAGAGGAGGAGGACAGAGAGAAGAGGAGGAGGACAGAGAGAAGAGGAGGAGGACAGAGAGAAGAGGAGGAGGACAGAGAGAGAGGAGGAGGACAGAGAGAAGAGGAGGAGGACAGAGAGAAGAGGAGGAGGACAGAGAGAAGAGGAGGAGGACAGAGAGAAGAGGAGGAGGACAGAGAGAAGAGGAGGACAGAGAGAAGAGGAGGACGGAGAGAAGAGGAGGAGGACAGAGAGAGAGGAGGAGGACGGAGAGAAGAGGAGGAGGACAGAGAGAAGAGGAGGAGGACAGAGAGAGAAGAGGAGACAGAGAGACCATGAATTTGCATGTTGTGGTCTGACTTTAGTTTTTGTTTTAGACTCGAGCACAACATTTATTCAACCTAAAAGTTAGGTCCCCCAGCTTTAATATAACTGGCTCCAATGTTTATACCTGTAACTGTAGGTTTACTCGAGTACAGATCGACAGGTCTCGTTCCAAACCACTGTGAGGTGAGTAGGACTGTATGTTTCTACATCTGTGTTTGTAGGACTGTCCTGTGTCCTCGTTGTACAGTCTGAGTCCTGGATCCATGGTCTGTCTGCAGCAGGTCTGGAGCAGGTCTGGAGCAGGTCTGGAGCAGGTCTAGAGCAGGTCTGGAGCAGGTCTGGAGCAGGTCTGGAGCAGGTCTGGGAGCAGGTCTGGAGCAGGTCTGGAGCAGGTCTGGAGCAGGTCTAGATCAGGTCTGGAGCAGGTCTAGAGCAGGTCTGGAGCAGGTCTGGAGCAGGTCTGGAACAGGTCTGGGAGCAGGTCTGGAGCAGGTCTGGAGCAGGTCTAGAGCAGGTCTGGGAGCAGGTCTGGAGCAGGTCTGGGAGCAGGTCTGGAGCAGGTCTGGAGCAGGTCTAGAGCAGGTCTGGAGCAGGTCTAGAGCAGGTCTGGGAGCAGGTCTGGGAGCAGGTCTGGAGCAGGTCTGGGAGCAGGTCTGGGAGCAGGTCTGGAGCAGGTCTGGAGCAGGTCTGGAGCAGGTCTGGAGCAGGTCTGGAGCAGGTCTGGAGCAGGTCTGGGAGCAGGTCTGGAGCAGGTCTAGAGCAGGTCTGGAGCAGGTCTGGGAGCAGGTCTGGGAGCAGGTCTGGAGCAGGTCTAGAGCAGGTCTGGAGCAGGTCTGGGAGCAGGTCTGGAGCAGGTCTGGGAGCAGGTCTAGAGCAGGTCTGGGAGCAGGTCTGGAGCAGGTCTGGGAGCAGGTCTGGAGCAGGTCTGGAGCAGGTCTAGAGCAGGTCTGGAGCAGGTCTGGAGCAGGTCGAGAGCAGGTCTGGAGCAGGTCTAGAGCAGGTCTGGGAGCAGGTCTGGAGCAGGTCTGGGAGCAGGTCTGGGAGCAGGTCTAGAGCAGGTCTGGAGCAGGTCTAGAGCAGGTCTGGAGCAGGTCTAGAGCAGGTCTGGAGCAGGTCTGCAGCAGGTCTGGGAGCAGGTCTGGAGCAGGTCTGGAGCAGGTCTAGAGCAGGTCTGGAGCAGGTCTGGAGCAGGTCTGGGAGCAGGTCTGGAGCAGGTCTAGAGCAGGTCTGGGAGCAGGTCTGGAGCAGGTCTGGAGCAGGTCTAGAGCAGGTCTGGAGCAGGTCTGGAGCAGGTCTGGAGCAGGTCTGGAGCAGGTCTGGAGCAAGTCTGGGAGCAGGTCTGGGAGCAGGTCTGGAGCAGGTCTAGAGCAGGTCTGGAGCAGGTCTAGAGCAGGTCTGGAGCAGGTCTGGAGCAGGTCTGGAGCAGGTCTGGAGCAGGTCTAGAGCAGGTCTGGAGCAGGTCTGGGAGCAGGTCTGGAGCAGGTCTAGAGCAGGTCTGGAGCAGGTCTGGAGCAGGTCTGGAACAGGTCTGGAGCAGGTCTAGAGCAGGTCTGGAGCAGGTCTGGAGCAGGTCTGGGAGCAGGTCTGGAGCAGGTCTGGGAGCAGGTCTGGAGCAGGTCTGGAGCAGGTCTAGAGCAGGTCTGGAGCAGGTCTAGAGCAGGTCTGGAGCAGGTCTAGAGCAGGTCTGGAGCAGGTCTGGGAGCAGGTCTGGAGCAGGTCTGGAGCAGGTCTGGGAGCAGGTCTGGAGCAGGTCTAGAGCAGGTCTGGGAGCAGGTCTGGAGCAGGTCTGGGAGCAGGTCTGGAGCAGGTCTGGGAGCAGGTCTGGAGCAGGTCTAGAGCAGGTCTAGAGCAGGTCTGGAGCAGGTCTGGGAGCAGGTCTGGAGCAGGTCTGGGAGCAGGTCTAGAGCAGGTCTGGGAGCAGGTCTGGAGCAGGTCTGGGAGCAGGTCTGGAGCAGGTCTAGAGCAGGTCTGGAGCAGGTCTGGAGCAGGTCGAGAGCAGGTCTGGAGCAGGTCTAGAGCAGGTCTGGGAGCAGGTCTGGAGCAGGTCTGGGAGCAGGTCTAGAGCAGGTCTGGAGCAGGTCTAGAGCAGGTCTGGAGCAGGTCTAGAGCAGGTCTGGAGCAGGTCTGCAGCAGGTCTGGGAGCAGGTCTGGAGCAGGTCTGGAGCAGGTCTAGAGCAGGTCTGGAGCAGGTCTGGAGCAGGTCTGGAGCAGGTCTGGGAGCAGGTCTGGAGCAGGTCTAGAGCAGGTCTGGGAGCAGGTCTGGAGCAGGTCTGGAGCAGGTCTAGAGCAGGTCTGGAGCAGGTCTGGAGCAGGTCTGGAGCAGGTCTGGAGCAGGTCTGGAGCAAGTCTGGGAGCAGGTCTGGGAGCAGGTCTGGAGCAGGTCTAGAGCAGGTCTGGAGCAGGTCTAGAGCAGGTCTGGAGCAGGTCTGGAGCAGGTCTGGAGCAGGTCTAGAGCAGGTCTGGAGCAGGTCTGGAGCAGGTCTGGAGCAGGTCTGGGAGCAGGTCTGGAGCAGGTCTAGAGCAGGTCTGGAGCAGGTCTGGAGCAGGTCTGGAACAGGTCTGGAGCAGGTCTAGAGCAGGTCTGGAGCAGGTCTGGAGCAGGTCTGGGAGCAGGTCTGGAGCAGGTCTGGGAGCAGGTCTGGAGCAGGTCTGGAGCAGGTCTAGAGCAGGTCTGGAGCAGGTCTAGAGCAGGTCTGGAGCAGGTCTAGAGCAGGTCTGGAGCAGGTCTGGAGCAGGTCTGGGAGCAGGTCTGGAGCAGGTCTGGAGCAGGTCTGGAGCAGGTCTGGGAGCAGGTCTGGAGCAGGTCTAGAGCAGGTCTGGGAGCAGGTCTGGAGCAGGTCTGGGAGCAGGTCTGGAGCAGGTCTGGAGCAGGTCTGGGAGCAGGTCTGGAGCAGGTCTAGAGCAGGTCTGGAGCAGGTCTGGAGCAGGTCTGGGAGCAGGTCTGGGAGCAGGTCTGGGCACTGTATGTACACACACACGTACACGCACACACACACACACACACACACACTGTATATACACACACACAATACACACACACACTGTATATACACACATATACACACACACACACTGTATATACACACACACACGTACACGCACAATACACACACACACACACACAACCACACACAGATACACATACACACACACACACATATACACACACACATATACACGCACACACACCCACACAATACACACACACACACACACACCTAAATCGTCTAAAATGTGAGATTAAAAATGTGATGCAGTGTTTGCAGCTGTGTTTGCAGCGGCTGTGTTCAGCCTGTGGTGTCTATACAACTACTGTGTGGTTCTGCCCCAGGGCAGCTGTGGCTACAGCCGTAGTTTATCACCTGTGTTTTAGAAATTACTCCGTAGAAATTATTATTATTAATAATAATGAATGTATTTATCCTAACCTGTCTAACATGTCTCACATGTCTCACATGTCTAACCTGTCTAACGTGTCTAACATGTCTAACCTGTCTAACCTGTCTAACATGTCTAACATGTCTAACCTGTCTAACCTGTCTAACCTGTCTAACATGTCTAACATGTCTAACATGTCTAACCTGTCTAACCTGTCTAACCTGTCTAACCTGTCTAACATGTCTAACATGTCTAACATGTCTAACATGTCTCACATGTCTAACCTGTCTAACCTGTCTAACATGTCTAACCTGTCTAACATGTCTAACCTGTCTAACCTGTCTAACCTGTCTAACCTGTCTAACCTGTCTAACCTGTCTAACCTGTCTAACCTGTCTCACCTGTCTAACGTGTCTAACCTGTCTAACCTGTCTAACCTGTCTAACATGTCTAACCTGTCTAACCTGTCTAACATGTCTAACATGTCTAACATGTCTCACATGTCTAACCTGTCTAACCTGTCTAACATGTCTAACATGTCTAACCTGTCTAACATGTCTAACCTGTCTAACATGTCTAACCTGTCTAACATGTCTAACCTGTCTAACCTGTCTAACATGTCTAACATGTCTAACATGTCTAACATGTCTCACATGTCTAACCTGTCTAACCTGTCTAACATGTCTAACCTGTCTAACATGTCTAACCTGTCTAACCTGTCTAACCTGTCTAACCTGTCTAACCTGTCTAACGTGTCTAACCTGTCTAACCTGTCTAACCTGTCTAACATGTCTAACCTGTCTAACCTGTCTAACCTGTCTAACATGTCTAACATGTCTAACATGTCTCACATGTCTAACCTGTCTAACCTGTCTAACATGTCTAACATGTCTAACCTGTCTAACATGTCTAACCTGTCTAACATGTCTAACCTGTCTAACATGTCTAACCTGTCTAACCTGTCTAACCTGTCTAACCTGTCTAACGTGTCTAACCTGTCTAACCTGTCTAACCTGTCTAACATGTCTAACCTGTCTAACCTGTCTAACCTGTCTAACATGTCTAACATGTCTAACATGTCTCACATGTCTAACCTGTCTAACCTGTCTAACATGTCTAACATGTCTAACCTGTCTAACATGTCTAACCTGTCTAACATGTCTAACCTGTCTAACATGTCTAACCTGTCTAACATGTCTAACATGTCTAACATGTCTAACATGTCTAACATGTCTAACATGTCTAACATGTCTAACATGTCTAACATGTCTAACATCTCTAACATGTCTAACATGTCTAACATCTCTAACATGTCTAACATGTCTAACCTGTCTAACCTGTCTAACCTGTCTAACATGTCTAACCTGTCTAACCTGTCTAACCTGTCTAACCTGTCTAACGTGTCTAACCTGTCTAACCTGTCTAACATGTCTAACCTGTCTAACATGTCTAACATGTCTCACATGTCTAACCTGTCTAACATGTCTAACATGTCTAACCTGTCTAACATGTCTAACCTGTCTAACATGTCTAACCTGTCTAACCTGTCTAACCTGTCTAACATGTCTCACATGTCTAACCTGTCTAACCTGTCTAACATGTCTAACATGTCTAACCTGTCTAACCTGTCTAACATGTCTAACATGTCTCACATGTCTAACCTGTCTAACCTGTCTAACCTGTCTAACATGTCTAACCTGTCTAACATGTCTAACCTGTCTAACATGTCTAACCTGTCTAACCTGTCTAACCTGTCTAACATGTCTAACATGTCTAACATGTCTCACATGTCTAACCTGTCTAACCTGTCTAACATGTCTAACCTGTCTAACATGTCTAACATGTCTAACCTGTCTAACATGTCTAACCTGTCTAACCTGTCTAACCTGTCTAACATGTCTAACATGTCTAACCTGTCTAACCTGTCTAACATGTCTAACATGTCTAACATGTCTAACATGTCTAACATGTCTAACCTGTCTAACCTGTCTAACCTGTCTAACCTGTCTAACCTGTCTAACATGTCTAACATGTCTAACCTGTCTAACCTGTCTAACCTGTCTAACATGTCTAACATGTGGATTACTGTATGTTGGACATTAGTTAGACACTAAAACATAACATCTACACTCTAAACTAAAGCTCTAAACTTACGCTCTAAACTAAAGCTCTAACCCTACGCTCTAAACTAAAGCTCTAACCCTACGCTCTAAACTAAAGCTCTAACCCTACGCTCTAAACTAAAACTCTAAACTAAAGCTCTAACCCTACGCTCTAAACTAAAGCTCTAACCCTTCGCTCTAAACTAAAGCTCTAACCCTACGCTCTAAACTAAAGCTCTAACCCTACGCTCTAAACTAAAGCTCTAAACTAAAGCTCTAACCCTACGCTCTAAACTAAAGCTCTAACCCTTCGCTCTAAACTAAAGCTCTAACCCTACGCTCTAAACTAAAGCTCTAACCCTAAGCTCTAAACTAAAGCTCTAAACTAAAGCTCTAACCCTGCGCTCTAAACTAAAGCTCTAACCCTACGCTCTAAACTAAAGCTCTAAACTAAAGCTCTAACCCTACGCTCTAAACTAAAGCTCTAAACTAAAGCTCTAATCCTGCGCTCTAAACTAAAGCTCTAACCCTACGCTCTAAAATAAAGCTCTAACCCTACGCTCTAAACTAAAGCTCTAAACTAAAGCTCTAACCCTGCGCTCTAAACTAAAGCTCTAACCTAAAGCTCTAAACCTACGCTCTAAACTAAAGCTCTAACCTTACGCTCTAAACTAAAGCTCTAACCCTACGCTCTAAACTAAAGCTCTAACACTACGCTCTAAACTAAAGCTCTAACCTTACGCTCTAAACTAAAGCTTTAAACTAAAGCTCTAAACTAAAGCTCTAACCCTACGCTCTAAACTAAAGCTCTAACCCTACACTCTAATCCTACGCTCTAACGCTGCGCTCTAAACTAAAGGTCTAACCCTACGCTCTAACCTAAAGTTCTAAACTAAAGCTCTAACCCTACGCTCTAAACTAAAGCTCTAACCCTGCGCTCTAAACTAAAGCTCTAACCCTGCGCTCTAAACTAAAGCTCTAACCCTACGCTCTAAACTAAAGCTCTAACCCTGCGCTCTAAACTAAAGCTCTAACCCTACGCTCTAAACTAAAGCTCTAACCCTACGCTCTAAACTAAAGCTCTAACCCTACGCTCTAACTTAATGCTCTAAACTAAAGCTCTAACCCTACGATCTAAACTAAAGCTCTAACTCTACGCTCTAAACTAAAGCTCTAACCCTACGCTCTAACTTAATGCTCTAAACTAAAGCTCTAACCCTACGCTCTAAACTAAAGCTCTAACTCTACGCTCTAAACTAAAGCTCTAACCCTACGCTCTAACTTAATGCTCTAAACTAAAGCTCTAACCCTACGCTCTAAACTAAAGCTCTAACTCTACGCTCTAAACTAAAGCTCTAACCCTACGCTCTAAACTAAAGCTCTAACTCTACGCTCTAAACTAAAGCTCTAACTCTACGCTCTAAACTAAAGCTCTAACTCTACGCTCTAAACTAAAGCTCTAACTCTACGCTCTAAACTAAAGCTCTAACCCTACGCTCTAAACTAAAGCTCTAACTCTACGCTCTAAACTAAAGCTCTAACCCTACGCTCTAAACTAAAGCTCTGTCTTTTCATCAGGCTCTAAACTATTTCTTTTCTCTTTGGTCCCAAAACCTCCATTTTCTTCCGCTTTATCCGTTGCCGGACTGCGGACTCAGTAACAACACACACCAGGGACTGAACCAGGACTGAACCAGGACTGGACCAGGACTGGACCAGGACTGGACCAGGACTGAACCAGGACTGAACCAGGACTGAACCAGGACTGAACCTGGACTGAACCTGGACTGAACCAGGACTGAACCAGGACTGAACCTGGACTGAACCTGGACTGAATCAGGACTGAACCAGGACTGAACCAGGACTGAACCAGGACCGGACCAGGACCGAACCTGGACCGAATCAGGACTGAACCAGGTCTAAATCCAAGTGTCCTGGACCTAAAGCCGGTCTCCAGAGATCGATGGTGAGTCCATTTACTAATGTGGTGAAAGACTCTCGCTGCTCAGCTGGGGACGGCTTTTGTCGCGTCCAAAATCTATTTATTCAAGATGGCTCCCTGGGCGTCTCCCAGGATGCACGGCGTGTCGGGGATTAAGACCAAAACCCAATCAATTCCACAGCAGGAGCGGCGCAGGAGCGGCGCAGGAGCGGCGCAGGAGCGGCGCAGGAGCGGCGCAAGAGCGGCGCAGGAGCGGCGCAAGAGCGGCGCAGGAGCGGCGCAGGAGCGGCGCAGGAGCGGCGCAGGAGCGGCGCAGGAGCGGCGCAGGAGCGGCGCAGGAGCGGCGCAGGAGCGGCGCAAGAGCGGCGCCGCCACAAAGCTCCGGCTGTAATTCATAAAGTGATATCCGTGCGTGTGCGCGGTGTGGGCAGATTATTCTAAACTGGAGATTATAATCTGGGTGAGATTAGAAGAGACCACTGTCTCTGAGTCTGACCAGGAAGTGTGAAATATGACCAGGGAGTGACCAGGAAGTGACCAGGAAGTGACCAGGAAGTAACCAGGAAGTGACCAGGAACAAGATACATCTCTCACACACACACACACATATACACACACATATGTGTGCGTGTGTGTATATGTGTGTGTGTGCGTGTGTGTGTGCGTGTGTGTGTGCGTGTGTATATGTGTGTGTCTGTGTGTGTCTGTCTGTCTCTGTTTCAAAAGTACTGTGAGAATCTTTGATCTTGACTTTGTTGATAACTCAGAGTTGTAGTTCCAGCTGGTCCCTGATATTTATTATTATTATCATTATTATTATTATTATTATTATCATCATTATTATTATTATTATTATTATTATTATTATTATTATTATTATTATTATTATTATTATTATTATTATTATTACGGTGAGATGGTCGGGACCCGGGGCCTGATACTTTGCCGTAAACTAATGAAGCCGTTATTCCACGTCTGGAGACAGGAGCGTGGCGTCCCCGATGACGACCCCCCCTCGCCGTTTCCCGAGACCAAACCTTGGGAGTATTTCTTGCTCAGAGAAAGGTCGCGGCGCCGGCCTGTCAGCGGTGACACGGCAGCGACACGGCGGCGCCTGTATCATTACGGCTGTATCATTACGGCTGTGTACTCACCTCCAGAGGATACAGCTCCGGCCTAATGAGCGCCGGGCCTCGTCCGACTATAACGAGGCCACGGATACATCCCATAATGCACTGGGCACAGCTGCTACCTCTGCACCGCCCGCCACGCACACGCCGCCAACATGTCCGCCGACCACGGGGCGCAGGCCGATCGCACACGGTTTAAACGTGTTTATGTGAGGCTATTCATGTCTGTGGGGGAGGAGGGGGGAGGAGGGGGGAGGAGGGGGGAGTTATACACGGTCCCTCTGTTTACACGGAAACGCCATTTTAGAAAAGAGAGGAAGGCACCTGGGGGGGGGCAGAGAGGAAGGCACCTGGGGGGGGGGCAGAGAGGAAGGCACCTGGGGGGGGGCAGAGAGGAAGGCACCTGGGGGGGGGCAGAGAGGAAGGCACCTGGGGGGGGGCAGAGAGGAAGGCACCTGGGGGGGGCAGAGAGGAAGGCACCTGGGGGGGGGCAGAGAGGAAGGCACCTGGGGGGGGGGGGGGGCAGAGAGGAAGGCACCTGGGGAGGGGGGGCAGAGAGGAAGGCACCTGGGGGAGGGGGGGCAGAGAGGAAGGCACCTGGGGGGGGGGGGCAGAGAGGAAGGCACCTGGGGGGGGGGCAGAGAGGAAGGCACCTGGAGAGGGGGGGGGGCAGAGAGGAAGGCACCTGGGGGGGGGGGCAGAGAGGAAGGCACCTGGGGGGGGGGGCAGAGAGGAAGGCACCTGGGGAGGGGGGGCAGAGAGGAAGGCACCTGGGGGAGGGGGGGCAGAGAGGAAGGCACCTGGGGGGGGGGGCAGAGAGGAAGGCACCTGGAGAGGGGGGGGGCAGAGAGGAAGGCACCTGGGGGGGGGGCAGAGAGGAAGGCACCTGGGGGGGGGGGCAGAGAGGAAGGCACCTGGGGAGGGGGGGCAGAGAGGAAGGCACCTGGGGAGGGGGGCAGAGAGGAAGGCACCTGGGGGGGGGAGGGGGGCAGAGAGGAAGGCACCTGGGGGGGGGGGCAGAGAGGAAGGCACCTGGGGGGGGGGCAGAGAGGAAGGCACCTGGGGGGGGGAGGGGGGCAGAGAGGAAGGCACCTGGGGGGGGGGCAGAGAGGAAGGCACCTGGGGGGGGGGGGGCAGAGAGGAAGGCACCTGGGGGGGGGGGGGGCAGAGAGGAAGGCACCTGGGGGGGGGGGGGGCAGAGAGGAAGGCACCTGGGGGGGGGGGGCAGAGAGGAAGGCACCTGGGGAGGGGGGCAGAGAGGAAGGCACCTGGGGGGGGGGGGGCAGAGAGGAAGGCACCTGGGGAGGGGGACAGAGAGGAAGGCACCTGGGGAGGGGGACAGAGAGGAAGGCACCTGGGGGGGGGGGGGGCAGAGTGGAAGGCACCTGGGGAGGGGGGCAGAGAGGAAGGCACCTGGGGAGGGGGACAGAGAGGAAGGCACCTGGGGAGGGGGGCAGAGAGGAAGGCACCTGGGGGGGGGGGGGGCAGAGAGGAAGGCACCTGGGGGGGGGGGGGGCAGAGAGGAAGGCACCTGGGGAGGGGGGCAGAGAGGAAGGCACCTGGGGGGGGGGGGGGCAGAGAGGAAGGCACCTGGGGGGGGGGGGGGCAGAGAGGAAGGCACCTGGGGAGGGGGGGGGCAGAGAGGAAGGCACCTGGGGAGGGGGGGGCAGAGAGGAAGGCACCTGGGGGGGGGGCCGAGAGGAAGGCACCTGGGGGGGGGGGCAGAGAGGAAGGCACCTGGGGAGGGGGGGGCAGAGAGGAAGGCACCTGGGGAGGGGGGGGCAGAGAGGAAGGCACCTGGGGGGGGGGCCGAGAGGAAGGCACCTGGGGGGGGGGGCAGAGAGGAAGGCACCTGGGGGGAGGGGGGGGCAGAGAGGAAGGCACCTGGGGAGGGGGGGGCAGAGAGGAAGGCACCTGGGGGGGGGGGGGCAGAGAGGAAGGCACCTGGGGGGGGGGGGCAGAGAGGAAGGCACCTGGGGGGGGGAGGGGGGGCAGAGAGGAAGGCACCTGGGGGGGGAGGGGGGGCAGAGAGGAAGGCACCTGGGGATGGGGGGCAGAGAGGAAGGCACCTGGGAGGGGGGGGGCAGAGAGGAAGGCACCTGGGGGGGGGGGGCAGAGAGGAAGGCACCTGGGGGGGGGAGGGGGGCAGAGAGGAAGGCACCTGGGGGGGGGGGGGCAGAGAGGAAGGCACCTGGGGGGGGGAGGGGGGCAGAGAGGAAGGCACCTGGGGGGGGGCAGAGAGGAAGGCACCTGGGGGGGGGAGGGGGGCAGAGAGGAAGGCACCTGGGGGGGGGGCAGAGAGGAAGGCACCTGGGGGGGGGAGGGGGGCAGAGAGGAAGGCACCTGGGGGGGGGGGGGCAGAGAGGAAGGCACCTGGGGGGGGGGGGGGGCAGAGAGGAAGGCACCTGGGGAGGGGGGGGCAGAGAGGAAGGCACCTGGGGGGGGGGGGCAGAGAGGAAGGCACCTGGGGAGGGGGGCAGAGAGGAAGGCACCTGGGGGGGGGGGCAGAGAGGAAGGCACCTGGGGGGGGGAGGGGGGCAGAGAGGAAGGCACCTGGGGAGGGGGGCAGAGAGGAAGGCACCTGGGGGGGGGGGGCAGAGAGGAAGGCACCTGGGGAGGGGGGGCAGAGAGGAAGGCACCTGGGGGGGGGGGGGCAGAGAGGAAGGCACCTGGGGGGGGGGGGGGGCAGAGAGGAAGGCACCTGGGGGGGGGGGGCAGAGAGGAAGGCACCTGGGGGGGAGGGGGGGCAGAGAGGAAGGCACCTGGGGATGGGGGGCAGAGAGGAAGGCACCTGGGGAGGGGGGGGGCAGAGAGGAAGGCACCTGGGGGGGGGCCGAGAGGAAGGCACCTGGGGGGGGGCGAGAGGAAGGCACCTGGGGGGGGGGCAGAGAGGAAGGCACCTGGGGGGGGGCCGAGAGGAAGGCACCTGGGGGGGAGGGGGGCAGAGAGGAAGGCACCTGGGGAGGGGGGGGCAGAGAGGAAGGCACCTGGGGGGGGGGGGGCAGAGAGGAAGGCACCTGGGGAGGGGGGGGCAGAGAGGAGGGGGCAGAGAGGAAGGCACCTGGGGAGGGGGGGGCAGAGAGGAAGGCACCTGGGGAGGGGGGGGGCAGAGAGGAAGGCACCTGGGGGGGGGGCCGAGAGGAAGGCACCTGGGGGGGGAGGGGGGCAGAGAGGAAGGCACCTGGGGGGGGGGCAGAGAGGAAGGCACCTGGGGGGGGCCGAGAGGAAGGCACCTGGGGGGGGAGGGGGGCAGAGAGGAAGGCACCTGGGGAGGGGGGGGCAGAGAGGAAGGCACCTGGGGGGGGGAGGGGGGCAGAGAGGAAGGCACCTGGGGAGGGGGGGGCAGAGAGGAAGGCACCTGGGGAGGGGGGGGGGCAGAGAGGAAGGCACCTGGGGAGGGGGGGGGCAGAGAGGAAGGCACCTGGGGGGGGGGCAGAGAGGAAGGCACCTGGGGGGGGGCCGAGAGGAAGGCACCTGGGGGGGGGAGGGGGGCAGAGAGGAAGGCACCTGGAGAGGGGGGCAGAGAGGAAGGCACCTGGGGGGGGGGGGGCAGAGATGAAGGCACCTGGGGGGGGGGGGGCAGAGATGAAGGCACCTGGGGGGGGGTGGGGTGGCAGAGAGGAAGGCACCTGGGGAGGGGGGGCAGATTGGACTGGGCCTGGACTGAGCCTGGACTGAGCCTGGACTGAGCCTGGACTGGGCTTGGACTGGGCTTGGACTGGGTCAGGACTGGACCTGGACTGGGCTTGGACTGGGCTTGGACTGGGCTTGGACTGGGTCAGGACTGGGTCAGGACTGGGCCTGCTTGGTTTTCCACCAGTGTCGAGCCAGTGCTAGTTACCATAGCAACACACTGTTTACTAGGTTTTTAGTTTCACTTTTCTGTCCTAAAAATCAGATCCAGATTGGACCAAAGACAGGGACTCGTTACATGGACCTCAGCTTTAAACTGAGATAAGTGGATCAGAAACTAAAGTGCCTGGTTCTGGGCTTGGTTCTGGGCCTGGTTCTGGGCCTGGTTCTGGGCCTCGTTCTGGGCCTGGTTCTGGGCCTGGTTCTGGGCCTGGTTCTGGGCCTGGTTCTGGGCCTGGTTCTGGGCCGCGGGCCACGCTCGGTTCTTTGAAAACTCTCAGATCCTAAAGTTTCCAAAAGAGCTGAGGTTTTGAAATGAAATAACAGTGAAAGAGAAACTTTCATCAAACACGATTAAGCAGCGTTTGGAAACGTTCCATTTGGAAGTTACAGAAATCTGCTGTGGCTCGAGATGGAAACAAGTCACAATAATAAATAATAATAAATCCATCCATCCATCCATTTTCTTCCGCTTTATCCGTTGCCGGGTCGCGGGGGCAGCAGTCTAAGCAGAGACGCCCAGACTTCCCTATCCACACACACTTCCTCCAGCTCGTCCGACCCCGAGGCGTTCCCAGGCCAGCTGAGAGACATAGTCCCTCCAGCGTGTCCTTAAGCCAACCATGGACAGCACGACAACGAAAACCGTGACGCCCGGCATGGCGCAGCCGGGGCCCCACCCTGGAGCCAGGCCTGGGGTCGGGGCTCGTATGCGAGCGCCTGGTGGCCGGGCTCAGCCCACGGGGCCAGGCCGGGCTCAGCCCGAAGGGACGACGTGGGAAGTCCCTCCTGTGGGCCCACCACCTGCAGAGGGGTCCGTGGTGAAGCGGTGCTGAGAGGACTGGGCGGCAGTCGAAGGCGGAGACCTCGACGACCCAGTCCGCACACCCAACATCTGGCTGTTGGGACGTGGAACGTCACCTCACTGGGGGGGAAGGAGCCCGAGCTCGTGGGGGAGGTTGAGCGATACCGACTAGAGATAGTCGGCCTCACCTCCACACACAGCTTGGGCTCTGGAACCCAACTCCTTGAGAGGGGTTGGACGCTCCACTTTTCTGGTGTTTCCCGCGGGGAGAGGCGGCGAGCTGGGGTGGCCATTCTCATTGCCCCCCATCTCAGCCGCCACGTGTTGGAGTTCTCCCCGGTGAATGAGAGGGTCGCGTCCCTCCGCCTCCGGGTGGGGGACAAGTCTCTGTCTGCCTACGGGCCTAACAGCAGTGCAGAGTACCCGGCCTTCTTGGAGTCCTTGGGAGGGGTACTGGACAGTGCACCGCCCGGGGACTCCGTTATTCTCCTGGGGGACTTCAACGCCCATGTGGGGGACGCCAGTGACACTTGGAGAGGGGTGAAGGGGAAGAACGGCCCCCCTGATCTGAACCCGAGCGGTGTTCAGTTGTTGGACTTCTGTGCCAGTCACGGTTTGTCCATCACGAACACCATGTTCGAGCACAAGGGTGTCCACCAGTGCACGTGGCAATTATAATAAAAAATAATAATATATAGGTATAAAATCTTACATTTCTACATATTTAAGTTTAAACAAAAGACATTTAACAGTGAAGGTTAAGCTTCTGGTGTTAGCTTCTAGTGTTAGCTTCTTGTGTTAGCTTCTTGTGTTAGCTTCTTGTGTTAGCTTCTAGTGTTAGCTTCTGGTGTTAGCTTCTAGTGTTAGCTTCTATTGTTAGCATGCTGGCGTAAACAAGAGATAGTAATACGTCTTAAGCTGTTTTTGAGATGGACTGTGGAGGAATCTTCCGTTGCTACGCAGGCTAGCTAAAAATAACATGGAAGTTGCTTTAGCCAATGGTGCCAGAATGTATGGGTAAGAACACTTGTGGACGCCCACGCTGGGGTCTGTGTGCGTCTGTGTGTGTTTGTGTGTGTGTTTGTGCGTTGCCAGTTGGGTGGATTGCACGGCGAGTGGGCGGGTGGTAAAGGGGGGGGTGTTAGGGGGGGGGGTGGTGAAAGGGGGGGGGGCCGTGGGCACTCTCAGACTATAATGTGATAAATGTATTTGTGATTTAATTATGTGCAGAGAAGCAGGTGTGTGTG